ATAGTCCCATTTATCTATCTCTGTTTTCACTTGCTCAGCCAGTGGCGTGGCATCTTTGAAGATACCATTAGCTTCAATGTCATGGAGGGTTTTGCCAACTTTATCTTCAATGTACCTTATGGTTTCTGGTCTGATGTTGAGGTCTTTAATCCATTTTGATCTTACTTTTGTACATGGTGTTAGGCAGAGTTCTGAGCCTACTTTTTTGCATGTAGCCGTCCAGTGATGCCAACACAATTTATTAAAGAGGCTTTCCTTACTCCACTTCACATTACTTGCACCTTTATCAAAGATTAGATGAGCATATGATTGAGGAGAGATGTCAGTGTATTCAACCCTGTTCCATTGGTCTGCAGTTCTGCCTTTGTTCCAGTACCATGCTGTTTTAATTATTACTGCTTTGTAGTACAGTTTGAAGTTCGGGAGGTTGATTCCTCCCATTTTCTTTTTCCCAAGAATTGCTTTAGCTATTCGTGGGGGCTTATTGTTCCATATAAATTTCAAGAGTGTTTGCTCCATTTCTTTGAAGAATGTCATGGGTATCCTTATAGGGATTGCATTGAATTTATACAATGCTTTCGGTAGTATTGCCATTTTGACAATGTTAAGTCTCCCGACCCATGAGCAGGGGATATCTTTCCATTTCCTCATGTCCTCTTTTATTTCCTGAAGTAGCGTTTTGTAGTTTTCTTTGTACAGGTCCTTTACTTCCTTAGTTAAGCTGATTCCTAGGTACTTGATTTTCTGGGGCACAATTGTGAATGGGATTGTTTTTTTCATGTTGCTTTCTTCTCTCTCACTGTTTGCGTATAGGAAAGCCATGGACTTTTGGGTATTGATTTTATAACCTGCAACTTTACTATACGAGTCTATTGTTTCTAGGAGTTTTTTGGTGGAAGTTATTGGGTTCTCTAAGTAGAGTATCATATCATCTGCGAATAGTGAGAGCTTGATTTCTTCCTTTCCTACCTGAATGCCCTTAATATCTTTTTCCTGCCTAATCGCTATTGCAAGTACTTCCAGTACTATATTGAACAGCAGTGGAGAGAGTGGGCATCCCTGTCTCGTCCCTGATCTTAGAGGGAAGTCTCTCAGTTTTTCCCCATTGAGGATGATGCTTGCTGTAGGCTTGTGGTAGATGGCTTTAATTATGTTGAGGAAGGTCCCCTCTATACCCATTTTGGCTAGGGTTTTCATCATAAAGGGGTGCTGGATCTTATCAAATGCTTTCTCTGCATCTATTGATATGATCATATGCTTTTTATCTTTTCTTTTGTTGATATGGTGGATTATGTTGATTGATTTCCGAATGTTAAACCATCCTTGCATCCCTGGGATGAATCCTACTTGGTCATGGTGTATGATCTTTTTGATGAGTAGTTGGATTCTATTTGCTAGTAGTTTGTTGAGGATCTTACCATTGGCATTCTTACCTTTATCTGGTTCCTAGAAGAACAGAACCATGTGGTTAACCAAAGAGCAGTTTCATGCTAGGAAAGGGTTTTGGTAATACTCTGCTCATGTTCTTTCCAGTGTTATAAAGATAAGTAGTTTTCCCAGGAAATGAGTATTTTTAAATTCATTTTATTTAATATTTGGGGTTAAAATGTATCAATGAGGAATAGTTTATCATATGAAATTTTTGCCCTGAAAAACTAATTTGGTTACTATTTCACAAATATCAAACATTTTTTAATTGGTCTATAATTCATATTTTATAACATTCACTAGGCTAAAGTATGATTCAGTAGTTTTTAATATACTGACAAGCTTGAGCAACCATTATCACTATATAATTTAAGAACATTTTCATCATCCATTAGTAGTCACCTACCATTGTGCTCATCTCATCCTCCAATTCTTAGCAACTACTGGTCTTATGGTAATATTTATTTATTTTATTAAAGAGCTTTATTGAGGTAGTCATATGCCATATAGTTTACCTCGTGTAAAATTGGCGATTTTTTAATATTCACAGGCCTGTGCGATTAATTACTGCAGCCAATTTTAGAATATTTTTATTACCTCAAAGAAACCTCAAACAGTTTAGTTATTGGATTCTTTTTCCTCCTTCCTATTATCCAAGTCAAAGTACCACTTATCTATTTTCTGTCTTTATGAATAGCCTTGCTCTGGACATTTGTGTGAATGGAATCATTTAATAAGTTATCTTTTGTCACTGACTTATTAGCATAATATTTTCAAGGCTTATTGATATTGCAGTAATATCTGTACTTGTTTCCTTTACACGGCTAAATAATGTTCTATTTTGTTCACCAGGAATATAGCTTAGTAGTAAGAGTGAATGACTTGGGCCAGAGCAATAGTACAGCGGGTAGAGTGTTTGCCTTGCACGCGGCCAACCTGGTTCCATCCCTGGCATCCCATATGGTCCCCCCAGCACCACCAGTAGTAATTCTTGAGTGCAGAGTCAGGAGTAACCCCTGAGAATCGCGGGGTGTGACTCAAAAAACAAAACAAAACAAAACAGAAAAAGAGTGCATGCCTTACATATATAAGGTTCTGCATTCGATTCCCATCCCCACCCACATTTTATTGATGATCTTTTTTTGATGATCTTTTGAATTGTTTCTTTTGATTATTATGAATATTGCTGCTACAAGCATTCAGATAAAAACTTTTTAGTAGATATACCTTCCCATTTGTATTGGGAGCAAAATTCTAGTCTGTCAAGTAACTGCCTAATCACTTAAGGAGCTACTAGACTGCTTTCTAAATTGATTGAACTATTTTGCGTCCTTAGCAGTAATGTTGAAAACTCTATTTTGTTTATATTCTACTAGCACTTATTTTCATTTTATTTGGCTGACAAATGGTATATCATTGTGATTTTGTGCTCTTTGAATATCTTCTTTGGAGAAATGTCTGAGATTCTTTGCTTATCTTTCAATTAGCTTTTTCTTTATTGTTGATCTGCAAGAGTTCTTTAACTAGAAACTAACCCTTTAGCAGAGAGACAATTTGCATATATTTTCCCCATGATGTAGATAAGGTCACTATCTTTTAGAAATAGAAGTACTCTTAATAACTCATAATGGCTTAGCATTTTAGGTTCATATTTGTTTACCAAATAAATATAAGGCTGATTGCCCTTTAATTCATTCACAGCTTGCTGCCATGAAATGAAACGTGTAGATTTCCCTCCACTGCAAATTGTTCGACCTTGACCCGTTAAAGAAGGATAGCTGACTCAAGGACCTCGGGGAGGGTTTTCCCCCCAGGGTTTCACTGTAATGTGATCTTTCTAACACTATTCCAAGATTCACATGACTAATCATGACGTTGATTTGGCTGCCTTATTAAAAGAACAGGGACTACGCAACAACATACTCCCACCTTTTACTCTGTATAGCTGATAGTCTAGTATAGGCACCAATGCATGTCATGTCTGTGACCTAACTTAAATTCTGGTCAGATCCTTCTAGTAAGATCTAGTTGATCAACATGCCAAGTCTCAACCTCAAGAGAAGATATCATAAATCTAGTTTTAAATATTTGGTTTTGATGTAAAAATATGTGATTTCAGTAACCTAATAGAGGTATGGGTATAGTGCTCAGGAAAGAGTTCTGTGTTAGAGACAGAAATGACAAAATCTCTAGTGTTTGGAGCTGGAAAGATAGTACAACGGGTAGTAGCTCAGCTACCTACTGCTTGCATGCAACTGCCAGGACTTGGTGCCTGGTACCCCATATGGTCCCCTTTTCCCTCTGCCAGTGAGTGATCCCTGAGCTGAGAGCGAGAAGTAAGCCCTTGATATCATCAGATGTGGCCCACAAACCCACCCGACACCCCCAAAATCTTTGGTGTTTGGCTAAAGAAGAAGACAATAGTTGGGCTGGAAAGAAAGATGGCACTGGGGTGAAAGTATTTATCTTACAGATGGCTAACCCTGGTTTGATCCCCAGCTCCACATCTATTTCCATTACACTGCCAGGAGTGACCACTGGGGACAGAGCCAGGCGTAAGCTCTGAATACTGCCAGGTTGTTGCCCAAACATTCTCTCCCTCCCCAAAAGGAAAACAGGTCCCCCTCTCCTGACCCAGCACAGAGTCAGGAGTAAGTGTTGAGCACAGAGAGAGAGAGACAGAGACAGAGATAGAGACAGAGAGAAAGAGAGAGGCAGGGGGAGGGGTATGGGGAAGAGAAGGCCTACATTGCAGAGGCTGAAAATAAAATTAGGGGAAGAGTTAGTGGAATTTTTCTTTAATTTTTTTTAATTGAATCATCATGAGATACAGTTACAAAGTTGTTCACGGTTGGGTTTTATTCATACAATGTTCCAAAACTTTCACCAGTGTACATTTCCCACCTCCAATGTCCCCAGTTTCTAGTTTCCCTACCCCAACTTGTCTGTATGGCATGTACTTTTCCTCTCTCAGTCTCTCTCTCTCTCTCTCTCTCTCTCTGCCTTTCTCTCTCTCTCTCTCTCTCTCCTAGTAGAATTCTTCTAAGAGGTGTAGCTGCTGGATAAGTTAGTTTTATTTATTAGATACTTCATGAATATTTATTGGATTAATGAATAGGAAAATCATGATATCATAGAAAATAATTCATATTAAAAATAACTTTAATCTTGCTCTTCAAGTCTGTTCTTTCTTGAACATGTATCTTGCTTGCTTTTCTTTGTTACTTTGCTTTCTTATTTCTACTCTGGAGATGTCTGTGTTCTCTCTTGAATATGTACTTCTCTCTTTCCCTCCCCTCATGTCTTCCTAAGTAAGTTTCAATAAACACAATCTTGGTTCACTAAAAATATTATTATAATCTTATTTATAGATTGGTGTGTACCCACTTCTTCAAATAAATAACATCTCTCATCTCAAGAACTATATCTAAATGTCAGTAGTCATGTTAATTCAGATAAAATTGCTCAGATTTCAAGATCATATGAAAATATTTCTAATAAGATTTTATTTACTTAAAACAATCGGTTTTCCAACTTTAAAATTCTACAACAGAATATTATATTTTTTATAGATTGATTTATCATCAGTACAAAGAGCATCTTTTGAAGAACTATTCCCAAATGTCAGCAATTATGTTAATTCAAATGAAATTGTTCCTGTTTCAGGTTTGCAAGAAATTTCTTCAAATGAGGTAGTATTTCCAGTTTTTCTTTATTTACTAAAAGAAATAATTACTGGTACATGAGATATTTTAGGGAATCAGTAACATCATTTACATTACGAATCAACTATCATTTACATTCTCAGATAAAATATATTAAGCTGCCACAGCTCAAACACTACATAAATAAGACTTGGGGGTACTAAATAACTGGAAAAAAATATTACCCTACTTTGATCCAACTTCATCTTTTGTCTATGCATATGAATTGTGACCACCAATCTCACATTGCTAGGATTAATATGTGGTAATGATATGTTCATTTAATAAAGAAGACATAAAATTCTTTAATAAAGAAGACATAAAATGAGAGAAAGTAGAATGGGGCTGAGCTGAGAGAAGTGGGAGAGGGGAGGGAAAAGGGACAAGAAGGGAGAGAGACTGACAGACAGATAGACAGACAGGCAAGCAATCAAAGAAAAATGTAAGACAAAAAGTTAGGGAGATAAAAAAGTAGAGAGTGGTGTTTGATCATTGTACAATTGAAACCCAAGTACAAAAATTTGTAAATCTATAACTGTACCTCATGGTGTTTCACTAATAAAAATTTAAAAAAAATAAAAAGTAGAGAGAAAGAACTTTAGTAATGTGTTATAGTCCAAAGTAGCTGTACTTTTTCTGTGACTGTGGGGTGAGGGTAGTAAGTTGGGTAAGGAGGAGAAAGTTGTAATCAAAAGAAGGATAAGGACTGGAGCAATAGCACAGTGGGTAGGGCATGCAGCATGCCTTGCATGCGGCTGACCTGAGTTTGATTCCCAGCATTCCATATGGTCCCCTGAGCACTGACAGGAGTAATTCCTGAGTGAAGAGCCAGGAGTAACCCCAGTGCATCGTTGGATGTGACCCAAAAAGAAAAAAAAAAGGATAAGAAAGAAAAGAAAATGATAAATCTTCAAGGGTCTTGTGCTTTGTATTACACAGATTGAATTTTTTCCTGAGAGGACCCAAGAAAAGTTTGCAATGGATGATGATAGTAGAGTTTCTTTTATCAGTTCTTAAGAGTAATTTGGAGGAAGAGGAAGACAAAGGGAGGCAGAAATCACAGCAGACCTCTGTCCACAGATTTACTTGCATAATGTCTTCTAGGTTCGTCCATGTTGTCCTATATTTCAGGATATTTTTCCTTTTTAAAAGCTGAATAATGATCCAATGTATACTACATTAATTTTATCTATTTTTCTTTTGATGGAACTCTTAGGTTGTTTTTACTTTTTGACTATTGTGAATGATGCTCTGCTGGGAATGTTGCTATCTCTTTGAGATCCTGACTTAAATTATTTTGTGTGAATGTCCTGATGTAGGACTCCCAGCTCTCATAGTAGTTGTTCATTTTCTGTAATATTTGTGTGTTGTTTGTTACCATGGTAACAAACCACTTAAATATTTTAGCACTTGGGGGCTGGAGCAATAGTACAGCTGGCAGGGTGTTTGCCTTGCACATGGCCAACCCAGGTTCAGTCCCCAGTATCCCATATGGTCCCCCCAGCACCACCAGGAATGATTCCTGAGTGAGACCCAGGAGTAACCCCTGATCATTGCCGGGTCTGACCCAAAATGCCAAAAAAAAAAAAATTGGCAGTTAAATCAACACAACTTCATGTTTTACTCATGCAACAATATAGTAGCTGACAAAACAGTTATCTTTTTGAATAAAAATAGAAACTATGAAAGTGAAAAAGAAATATATGAAAGATCTTCTTATGTTGATGTTTAAATGTTCAGGGAGTGACAGTCATAACTTCTGCTCAAAACTCATTGCCCAGAATTTTTGATTGATTGTACTATAAACCTCATAAAATAAACTCTCATTGAATTTTTATTTTAATAATTTTATTTTTTGTTTCATAGAGTTCTTATTTCTTTTGTAAAACTGTTTTTCACTTTTTTTTGGGGGGGGGATCACACCCAGTGATGCTCAGGAGTTACTCCTGGATCTGCCCTCAGGAATTACTCCTGGCAGTGATTGGGGGACCGTATGGGATGTCAGGGATTGAACTCAGGTCAGCCACGTGCCAGGAAAACACCCTTCCCGCAGTACTATTGCTCTGGCCCTGTTTTTCACTTCTTAAAGTCTTTTGTTGCACTCTCACCCAGGGGATTTCACTAATTCTTTTTCATTTTATACATTATTATTTTATTCTGATTTGTGGCTTTTGATATGTCATGTTTCAGAACTTAAATTCATTGTTTGATATTCCTATATAGTCTTACACGTAGTAGGTAGTTTGATACCTTATGAGTTTGGTACTTCTTTTGTTGTTCTTGTGATGAAATTTTAGGAGGAAGTGAATTGTATTTTGCTTGTCATTTCTGTTTGTAACAGTTCTTAACTAGATCTTGAAGAATATTTGGAGACACTGACCCTGCCTCTGATCATTTATTTCCTTGATCTTATGTGTATGTGATAAGAATTCTATTATCATGAGGATTCCATCCTCTGAAGATTATTTGTTTCTGTTTTTACAGTAACAGTTATAGCTAGGGGTTGGTGTTAACCAGGAATCTCTTTAGAGCATTTACTTTATCTTGCTGATCCCTTTACAATGTTCTTATCTAAACTTATCACTGGGTCCTAGGAGCATGGAATGCATTGATTGACTAGGTTTGGGTCTTGTGAGCACCTTGGCCCTCAGAAGTATTATCACCTGTTCCTGACTGTATGATATGGTTCACCTTCTGAAGAACAAAAAATAAAGGCTGGGTAGAAAGTAGTGACTGTCCACCACTATGAATTTTCTAGCAGAAGAGAGTTTTTAAATTTAATTTTTATGGCTATCCTCAGCAGTGCTTGGAGGGGGAGGTGGGACTCAGAGCCTAATTCTTGGCCCAGCAACACTCTGGTGCTTGGAGACACCAGGGCAGTGTTGGGGACTAAACTCAGGACCTCACACATGCTCAGCACTCTGTCAATCATGCTGTTTTTCTGGCCCCAATAGAAGAGTTTTTCATATAGGCTTCATTTAAAATTGTAGGAGACCTTAGTAAATATATATCTCTATGTCTGAGTTCTAAAAAATAATATATATTATTTTTGGGGAATATAATATTCTAGAGAATGTCCATTTGAAGGGAAATATTTGAAACTACCTGAATTAGGAAATCAAGGAAATCTACTGTTTGATTCAGAATTAAATTTAAAATTTTTTAAATTTTATTTTTTAAAGCTGTTCAAATATTTGATTGCATTTACTATTCAAAGACCAATCTCACTACCATTACACCTTCCCACCACCACCATATTTCCATCCTGAACCCAAGACCCTTTCCCCCAAGACAGACCTAAATAATTTATTTTATATTGCTTGTTGGGCTGGAGCAATGGCACAGCGGGTAGGGCATTTGCCTTGCATGAAACCAACCTGGCCATTCTGAGTTTGATTCCTCTGCCCCTCTCAGAGAGCCTGGCAAGCTACCAAGAGTATCTTGCCCACACGGCAAAGCCTGGCAAGCTACCCATTGACATATTCAATATGCCATTCACAGTAACAAGTCTCACAATGTTACTGGGCCCGCTCGAGCAAATCAATGAACAACGGGAAGACAGTGACAGTGACATTGCTTGTTGGGCTGGAGTGATAGCACAGCGGGTAGGGTGTTTGCTTTGCATACAGCCGACCCAGGTTTGATTCCTCTGCCCCTCTCAGAGAGCCTAGCAAGCTATTGAAAGTATCCCACCCACAGGGCAGAGCCTGGAAAGCTAACCATGATGTATTCAATATGCCAAAAACAGTAACAACTAGTCTCACAATGGAGACGTTACTGGTGCCCACTTGAGGAAATGGATGAACAATGGGAGGACAGTGCTACAGTGCTATATTGCTTGTTATGAATAATCTGCTGAAAATAATTCCAAAAAGGTTTCTTGGAGGAAAGTGTGTGAAGACTGTTACATTTCACCCAGGAGCCATTAAGCCTTTCTATAAGAGTTTGAAAACATGCTGTTAAAGGTTGAGCCTCGTGTGCTTTTATATATATACATATATATCATATATATCTGTATAAATATATTTCCTCCTAAGATTGGTTTCCTCCTACTCCTTCTACTTTAAACCCCATCAAATGTGGTGTGTTACTCTTAGAATATTAATGATGTAAAGTATGAGATGTTACAAGGTCCAGGAATAGACTGACTCATGGGTGAGGCTTGTCCAAGTATGTGGAGAATAACCGTGGGCATGGTTGAGTTGAGTTGAGTTCTGGAGGTTTTCGGCTGCTGCTGGAACTGGTAACCTTACCCACCCCCTTCTGGGTTGTGCCAAATGAAACAGCCTGGCGCAGAGTCTGGAGGCATGTCTATGGCATATCATTCTGTGCTCTTTTCTGAGAGATTTATTATTGACTCTCTGGATCATGGTCATTAATGAGATTATATGGTGCCAATGACAGCTTGTGGACTAAATTTAAAATTTATGTTGTAAATCATGTAAACTTTTTCTCTCAATTTGGAGTGCTTGAAAATTAAGTGTTATCACTTTCAGGTCTTTTGGCTAAGATCAAGTGCAGTATCTGTCCTTATCAGTTTAATATCTGATAGATACTCTATCTGAGGACAATATATTAAATGGATTTTTGGAACGAAGAGTTGGAATAGAAGCTCGCTCCATCCACTGCACACATTGACCTGGTGGTATTGCAGTGCCTTCAGGAATGGTGCACAAGAAAAAAAAACTAAGTATTTTTTTTTGTGCTTAAATAAATTATTTAAGCTTTCTGAACTTTAAGTTTAATTTTTAAAAATAGGGATTACATGTTATATGTTGCCTTTTTTCTTGTGAGTATTAAGTAAGAAAGTGTTTTAAGGGATGGAGCGATAGTACAGCAGGTAGAGCAGTGACTTTGCAGGTGGCTGACCTGAGTTCGATCCTGACAACACATATGGTCTCCCAGTCTCCACCAGGAGTGCTCTCTGAGCATAGAGCCAGGAGTAACAATGACACTACCAAGTATGGCCCAAACAAACAAGCAATAAAATGTGGGGGGTTTTTTGTTTTTTTACTTTTTTGGGTCACACCTGGCTCTCCATTCAGGAATTACTCCTGGCAGTGCTCAGGGAACCATATGATATGCTGGGGATCGAACCCAGGTCAGCCGCATGCAAGGCAAACTCCTATCTGATCTACTATCACTCCTTTCCCTAAGATGTATTTTAAAACCAGTTATTCATAACATGATGCTCGCCATAACCATGTCACTGGACTCCATGCCAGACTGTTTCACTTGGGGCACCTGGAAGAGGGCAGGTGAGACCCTCTTCACCCCAAGGGACCCAGCTCCAGCAGCCAAAAACCTCTAGAACCCAGCTGTTGCCATGCTCACGATCACTCTCCACATGCTTGGGCAGAGCATCACACATGAGTGAATCTATTCCTGGACCGCGTAGTTACAAATACGGCCACACAATACTTCAAACCACACACCTTACCCCTACTCCAAGAGTACCGCACCACATTTGGTATGGTTCAAAGTAGGAGGCAACCAATTTTAGAGGGAAATATACATTATATATATATGTATATATACATATATACATTTTATATATATATAAAGCACACAAGCCTCAACCTTTAACAACATGTAAGTCATCTCTTATAGAAGGACTTAATGGTCCCTGGGTGAAATACAACAATCTCCACACTCTTTCTCTAAGGATACTTTTTTGTACCATTTTCAGTGGTTTTTCATAACAATCACGATCACGACCATCCTATTGTTAGTCGATTGCAAGTAGCTAGACAGTTACACCCACCAACTACCGTGTAACCCCAACAACGGCCAGGATCCAGGGTTTTTCATAACAGTACAAAATATATGATTTCGGTTCTGCTTTGGGGCAGGGATTAGGGTTCAGGATGGAAACATCTGAAATATGATGGTGGGAAGGTGTAATGGTGGTGGGATTGGCATTTGACTATTAAATGTAATGAATTATTGTAAACTTCTTTATAAAATTTTAAAAATTATATGTTAAACATTTAGTCTAGAATGAAGTAAGCATTGCATATATGGTTTATATGAATAATACCTATGAAATTTGGATATATAGAAATTTGCTTTTGTAATTAAACAAAATAAACATAGTTTCCAGAGAATTAAGCAATCTTTCCTTTCTTTTTCAGATTTCATCAGATGCATCAGAAAAATGTTGTATTGTTAGAGCATCACCAGGAATTAGAAAAATGGGCAATAGAACTCTTAGAAAAAAGAAATACTCTCCTCCCAAAGATATCCCTCAAGGTACTTTAGTATGAATGTAATTTCTACTTTTTGGAGGCTATATTACATATTTTTCATTGTAAATTACTTATATACTTGCAAAATTCAGTTATAAGTTGTATACTGAGAGTTATCTCAAAAAGTAGAAGTGTTTAAGTTATAAAAAATTTGAACACGAACAAATAATTTTTGAAAGATAATTACCTTATTTTTTTTAGTTTATTCCATTGATATAAAGTGTATTTATGTAGGACACTTCTCTCATAACTTTGAATTTTAAAAAACTTATTATTTAGGTATTGTGGTTGCAATAGTGTTACTGCTAATGATTTTATGATTTTCACCTACAAATTTGCTGCACCTTTAGGTCACCAAGACCCTTCCACAACTGTCTTTATGTTACTTTTAGGTTCCCCACCTACTGTTTGGTAGAGGTACCAGGAATCCAACCGAGGACCTCAAATACGCAAAGCAAATTCTTTACTGCTGAGCTCTATCCCTGGCTTTTTCTCATAACTATTTGAAATACAGAATTATTTAGTTTCCTTTTTAATAGTACTCTTTTTGTTCTCAGGGGCCTGGGTCCCACTCCTGGTGGTACTTGACCAACCAGGCTAGAAGGTTCAGTGCTTGGGCCTGATGATGGGATGGTAGTTGTGCCCAGAGATGCTGGGGTCCTCCAGGGCTATACTCAGGAATGCTCTGCTGGCATGCAGTGCATGCCATTCCATGCCTGGGATTAAACTGGGGTCCTTATGCACACAAAGCATTCATTGCCATTCCCCAGATAACATTGTTTTTAAAGATTAGGAGATATGTTTGTATTCTCTCAAACACTAGTTGAATACTTTCTCTACAAAAGGCACTAATGTCTCATTTATTTCTCACTATGTTTTTATGATAGAATATGTGCCATTATGCTTGCTTTGTATATTAAAAACATAAGACTTAAAATAATTAGCAGTTTGTCCAAAATCATACTGCTACCTAGTAGTGGAGAGAAGAGTTCAACCTTTCAAGACTTCTAAGCTCTCTAAGTTTAGCTTTTCCTTTTTTTTTCTATTTACTTCACAGCATTTCAGAAAGAATGTCTAATTATTCATTGAATCTCAGAAATCTTTTTGCTTTTTGGGTCACACCCAGTGATGCACAGGAGTTACTCCTGGTTCATGCACTCAGGAATTACTCCTGGTGGTGCTCAGGGGACCATATGGGATGCTGGGAATTGAACCTAGGTCGGCTACGTGCAAGGCAAACGCCCTACCCGCTGTGCTATTGCTCCAGCCCCTCAGAAATCTTTTTGAATAACAGGCAATCAAGCAATTAAAATGTAGTATATTATGTATAACTTTAATCCAAATAAACTATATACTCCTAATCCTTATTCCCATCTCCTCAACAGAGCCTGTCCTGAGCACTCAGTTCACAGAGATATTTTCATTTTTTGTACATTACTTGAATACTTAATTTATAGCTATTTATTTGACATGTAATATACTGCAACTGAATGATTTTTAGCGATAGCAGGGGCTGGAGCGATAGCACAGCGGGTAGGGCGTCTGCCTTGCACGCAGCCAACATGGCCGACCCGAGTTCGATTCCTCCGCCCCTCTTGGAGAGCCCAGCAAGCTACCGAGAATATTCGATATGCCAGACACAGTAACAACAAAGTCTCCAATGGAGACGTTACTGGGCCCGCTCGAGCAAATCGATGATCAACGGGAGGGCCTTTTATTCTTAAGTTATAAAGTTTCAAGGACAGAACAAACAGTAAACTTTCTGTTTCTATCTCTGATAATTAGCATGGTGAGAGAAAATATCAGATGCTATACCAGTCATAATTTTATAAAAAATTACAGAATTAGCAAGCTATATGTATACATGTATACATATATGTAGATGTATATGCATGTGTAAAGGTATATAAAGAGGTTTATTTGAGGAATTACATTTTAAAAGATTCTGTCTGAAAACTGTGGGCATTCTGTAAGCTCTTAGGCAGCTGCTGCTAATGCAATTTACAGGAACATTCTTATTTTGGGGGGGGGGGGGGAAGGTTTGTTCCATACTAGGCAGTGCCCAGGGGTTACTCCCACTCTGTGCTCATCAGTGACCCTTGGTATGATGCTCATGTGACTGTGTGTGGTGCCGGGGATTGAACTAGATCTGCTGAAGCAGCCACATGAAGTGCTTTACCTCCTATTTGAACTCTCTGAGCTCTGCAGGAGTAATTTTTTTTTTCAGAAAAACTTGTTTTGCTCTTAAAACCTTTAATTAGGGAAGTCCTACTCAGATTATCAAAGATAATTTTCTTTATTTCAAGTCATCCATTAAAACTGCTAACTAAATCTTCATAGCAACATCAAGACTAGTATTTAATTTAATTTGACATTAAATACATTCCTTGTCAACTGTGTGTGGACCTGTAGTTCCTTAAATCATATTTAGTCTACAAATACAAACAATAATAACACACTGTGTTTCAATATAACAAAAAATGTACTTAAAAAGCTAATTATTATTAATAATCTTAGATTATATGGGGATAAGACATGGAAGGAAATAAACATGTTTTGCTCAGCTAGTCTTGTGATTATAGATTGTATTTATTACTACCTTCATCCAGTACCCATTCTATAGTCTGTCTGCCCTCACTAAACCGACAACTGGTCATTGTTCTTTAACTGATAACTTTTCCTATAAAAATAAAATGGCTCTCCTTGTGTAATGGAAGTGGGCTAGTACAATCAATCTGCCACCAACAGCCAGCTGATCAGTCTAGGAAATGGTGCCATATTGGGAATTAAGTGTCAGTTTCTGTTATTGACAGACTGGAAACAGGAAGTGGTTGTAGCTAGATACCTTGGAGAGTGGAAGACCAGGCTTCTGAATCCATGTATGACCTCTGTACAGAGAAGGTAGTCTTATTCACTTGATTATTAAAATGCTCCCCTCCTGATACCATTTTTTTGGTGAGCTTAGGAGATAGATCTTTACTTTTTTTTTTTTGCAGTTAGGGAGGTCTATTTCTGTGCTTCTTTCCTACATTTTCTTGTCATCTCTTATTTTTTTTTCTTTTTGGGTCACACCTAGGGATGAACAGGAGATGCTCTGCACTCAGGAGTTACTCCTGGCGGTGCTCAGGGGACCATATGGGATGCTGGGGGGGGGGGGGGGGGGAGAGAGAGAGAGAGAGAGAGAGAGAGAGAGAGAGAGAGAGAGAGAGAGAGAGAGAGAGAGAGAACAGTTATACATAGACAGTGATAGGACTTTGCTCACCTCTACAGTGATTAATTTCAGGCCTCAAAAAAATCTCTGTTTGCCACTGACACTCCTTGGATCTGCTGGATCATATGGTACAAGTGGCAGATCTTTCTCTTGTTCTTGTACCTTCTTGAAATTATCAGTTTTCAGGTCACTTGATAAAGATATTGGGGTAAATGAGGAATATTCTAACTTCAAAATCTAAAAGGTCTTTGTGTCTCTTTCCTTTCAGTTGTAGGAGAAGACAAATAAAAGAACTTATCCTTCACCTTAGGAAACATATCTTTTATATAACTGACCACTAGAACTTCATTGAGGTAGAATGAGATGCAGAACTTACACTTCCCTGGACTTAGAAAAACTAACAGTTCTACTTTCAGGAATAGATTTAGCTGAAATGTATACGTATGTTCATCAAAAAATAGATACTAGTGGGGCCAGAGTGATAGGTAGGGTGCTTGCCTTGCACATGGTCAACTCTGGTTTAATCCCTGTCACCCCATATGATCTTCTGAGCCCCACCAGTAGTGATCCCTAAGCACAGAGCCAGGGGTAAGCCATGAGTACTGCTGGGTGTGCTCCCCCCCAAAAAACAGATAAATACTAGAATATTCATAGCAGCACTGTGGATATGGATAATAGTGCCAATCAAAAAAACTATCTGGATAGCTATCAATAATAGTGTGATGAATAAACTTTGGTATATTTGTTCACTGGTATACTATTTAGTAATGAGACTTTAAAATATACTACATGAACCAATATTGGCGATTTTCACATAATTAAACAAAAGAGAGTACATTTAATAGTTCTTATATCTCATATGAAACTAGGCAAAACTAAACTGTTATGGGAATCACCATAGAGAATGTTCTTGTTGGGCAGGAGATATTAACAGGAATGGGTTAGAATTCTCTGGTGATGTTGTTTCGTTATCTACATGCTGGCTACATTGTGTTTAAATTTGTGACAGCCTATCAAGCTGAATGTTAGAAATATGTATAATATTCTGTGTGAATGCTGTATTTTAATAAAAATTTAAAGAAAGTAGAGAGCAAGTCCTGGAAGATAACTTAAAGGACTGGAGCACATGTGCTGCAATGTGGGAGCTGTGGGTTTGATCTCTGGAACTGCATGGCCCCTGCTGTTGCTGGGAGCTGCCCCAAAGTTTTGCTCTGGGAATAGTTTCCAAATACTGCCAGTTGAGGCTTCAATCCCCCGATTTTAAATGAAAAAAAAAGTGAAATTTCTCTTAATTTTATCTTTATGGTCTGTCATACAGTTTATGACATCAGGTATGTCACAATTCTGGGTTTATGTATGCAATAAATCAAAACTGAAATGTGTCTGGGATGTTCTTTTTAGGCTCAGGTCAAACTTTATTGTGTGATTCAGAAAGAGCCCCCTGATGCATGTTAAACCAACTGTGCCACCTCCTGGCTTCTTTCTAGACCATCACCTAATTTAGCAGCTTCCTTAATTAAATACAATTCTCTTTCATTTTCTGGACACTTATGTGCCTTTCCTTTAGTAAAAATAGCAAAGCCCCAAGCTAACTGGTGTTCATATTATTTTAAATATGCAGCAGCCTATTTTTAGTTCTGGCTTTTAATGTTTTAGCTAATATGGCAGTAATCAAATCAAGACTGCGGGTGTAGCTCACTCTTGACAGCTTAGGACCCTTTTAGTATGCTGCTGCTTCATTAGAAATTGGCATTATGCCAATTAAAGACAAAATTTTGCTCACTGTGGATTTC